ATCTAATTTTACTACAGAGTTTGAGTATCAGTATTTTATTCTTTGCATTCTTTTCTTCCTGCTTCTTCTTAAAAACTGCAGCTACAATATGAGTAGGTTTTACATGCTTTATAACTTCTTTTGCTCTTCTATAGATTTTTGCAGTATCCAACTTTATGTCGTCATTAAGAAGCAACTTTAGCCCATCGGATGCACATCCTATTGCAGTAATATGTGGATATTTATCCATTATGATCTCCAATGCTGCTTTCATGTCAGTCAACAAAGCAAATACTTTACCACTTCCAATCTTCTGTAGGACTTTATTTATTTTACTGCTGATATATTCTGCAGTATGCCTGTTCTCTCCTGTTTCAGTGCTTCTTTAAAAACTGAGGTGTTGTTATCACAAATTTTATGATTCCCTCTCCCTGCACATTTGTTCATTCATCTGTAAGCACTACAAGACACTGCTTCATTGATTTTTCTTTGTGCAGATTGCATTACACATACATATTCTGACTCTAAAAGAGGCTTGCTCAAAGAATGTCTGCTGGGCAAATGGTATGATGGTCTTAGTAATTTAAAAACTTTCTGCCAGTATGCATTTTCAGTTGTTGACAATGGCGTCCCAGAAGAATATATTGCTATTGCAAGAGCTTTGTCAATGTTTTTCCTGATCGTCAAGTGTCATCTTGTCTACAGATGAAGCTATTGAGAGTATTTTGTATACAGTTGGTTGCAATATTTGGTTACTTGAAGATGTTGATTGGGCAACCCTTTATGATGCTGATGTTATAGAAGAAGAAGCATGCATGCATGATGCATACGGAGAAGCTGGGGATCGGGGAGCTTCATGCCATATGTTCAAAGTAAAGCGTGATACAAATCATCCATAAAGATGTTCCATATTTAAGAAGTTCCATTAAATGTGGAACAGCTTTGTGGCTGGTTTGCCAATTTTTTCATCCAATAAATTGGTTGACTGTGTGGGAGGTTACAACTTCTTTTATGATTAACAACCACACAATAAATGTTATGTCTGTTGGGCTCTACAATACTGTAGAACTTGTGGGGTTAGGACACAGTGGCCTCATCCACATGAAACACTGACTCTGCAGTTGTTACTGCACAGTCATTTAGTGCTTGTATAAAAAGTAACTGGAGTTACTGTGCAGTAGCATCGTTGAAAGCATGGCTTTTAGGTGACGCTGACTGCTCAGTAGCTCGTTACTACCATGCAGTAGTGTTGTATCACACGTCCTGCCATGTGATGCTACTGCACAGTAGTAATGAGCTACTGAGCAGTCAGTGTCTCATGTAGACAAAGCCAGTCTTAGGGAAATAGGAAGCCATGTGTTCAGATCCGTCAGGACCTTTGTAACTCCTGAGATGTGGTAGCAAAGGTGTCTGCTACTCCTAGCCTTTTTATGTAAATCAGAAAAGGTTTTCCAGCCAAAACTATTCAGTAAATTTGGGGTGAGCCAGAAGTCCATTATTCAGTTGACTTAGTATGTGCTGAAAATATTTTATCCAGATTTGTTACATAACACTTTGTACTGTTACGCGATGAGCTAAGTGGAAGTGAGTGGGTGTCACCATAGCCCTTCATTTAAGAGTTGTAAGAAATAGTTAAACTGTTTGTGCAACCAGATGGCTGACCAACAGCAGCTTTCATAAGTAAGTACCTGTTGGAATCATGATTGCACGATTTTTGTGGAAACTGTGATTTTTGGTGGGATCCACAAAAAATAGCAGGCTCTGTGATTTTGGCAGGCTTGCTGCAAAAAAGCCCCAAATTTGCTGGCAAGCAGAGAAAAGGCCAGGGCCCTGTAGTCTTGAAGCATGGATGGAAGGCGGAAGGGGTGGATGGTGGGGGACAAAGGGGAGGGGGAGGGGCCAGAAGAG